CTTTGAGAAATTAGGGCATCCAAAAGTGCCCATATATACTGGGGAATACAGAAGTTATTCATATGCCCAGAACAGGATGTGTGCTCAGAAAAGACCTGAGAAGACTATAGGCTTTCACCTCTGTTGATCGCTACCTTAATTGCAAGCAATAAGTGAAGTCTAAGGCCTTAACGTTGAAATGAAACGAGACAGTTACTCAAAGCTGTACAAAGAAATAAAGAACTTCAATGAAGGAACTACACAGGGAAATAAAAAAGACAGTATTATGGGCACATAATGTATAAAGATGAAATTGGTCTCATTTAAAATGGACCTCATTTAAAATGGAGTCAGAAGGCTAGAAGAGAGAACTCTCATGCATGTGTCATTCAACGCGCACTGCTGGCCCCAGCAAGAAGTATCTTGCATCTCCGACAGGAACTGATACTACATCACTACCTCAGCGGGAGGAACAGAAGACTCCTCCCTGTCCAGTAACAGCTCGACTGGGGGGGGAGCCTGCGAACTCAGCCAAGGGTCACTATACTTTGAACTTGCAGCTTCCTCCAATGGGCTCTTCATTTACAACAGCCCTCCAGGTCCACTAAGGGGTGATCCTCTCCCTTGTTTCTCTGGACTTGCATCTGGTTCGACATTAGACCGCGTGTCCTAAATTGCAGCTCTTTGTTGTACCTGAATAAACCCATTTTGCTGGAAAAGTATCTGGCTATTTGTTTAAGGTCAACATTACTGAACAACCAGGGGCGGTGAGAAGCAGGTTTTGTCGTATCAAAAGGATGTAGAGATGCCTGGCCGGGCATGGTTCAGCGGCTGAACATCGGCTGAGATCGCAGTTCGATTCCCGGTCAGGGCACATGCCCGGGTTGCGGGCTCGATCCCCAGCAAGGGCAGTGCAGGAGGCAGCCGATCAATGACTCTCTCATCATTGATGTTTCTATCTCTCTCTCCCTTCCTTTCTCTGAAATCAATAAAGATATTAAAAAAGATTATAAATATACAGGACCTTTGCAGAAAAATAAAAATTTCTTTAAAAAAAAAAAAAAAAGGGTGTCATGCTGACTGGTTCCTGTGGGAGGGAGGGTGTGATTGGCTTGTTTCCATAATTTCCCAGAAACCAAAGAACTGAAGTTCACTACTCAGGAATCAGCAGGAACTACACCTGCTTATTGGTCGATAGAAAGGATGTCTGAATAGGGGAACTTGTCCACAGGAGCGGAGGAGTGGAGCTATTCAAGGACTTACTGGCTTTAGCAGATAATTAAGGCAGCAGATAATATTGACCTTAATTTTAGGCCTTAAACTGTAACAACCCTGAGAATTGGAGAAAATACTTACAAATGATACATGTGATAAAGATCTAGTATCCAGAATACCTAAAGAAGGCTTATAACTCAACAACAAAAAAGATGAACAACCCAATTAAAAAATGGGCAAAGGACTTGGATAGGAAATACAAATCAAAAACACAATGACATATCACTTCACACTGGAATGTAAACTGGTGTAGCCGCTGTGGAAAAGTTTTGTGGCTCCTCAAAAAGTTAAACATAGAGTTACCACATGACCCAGAAATTCCACTCTAAGGTAAAAATAACCCAAATGTCCATCAACAGATGAACTGTTAAATAAAATGTGGTATATACATTCAATGTAGTATTATTCAGCTACAATAGTGAATAAAATACTAATTATGCTACAATGTGGATACACCTTGAAAACATTAGACTAACTGAAAAAAATCTTAACCGAAAGGTCACATATTGTATGATTCCATTTATATGAAACATCCCTAATTGGTAAATCCATACAGACAGAAAGCAGATGATAGCTGGCAGAGGCTGAGGAAATGGGGTGCGCTGGTTGGGAGAATAAGGAGTGACAATTTAATGGGGCTTCCTTTTGGGGTGATGAAATGTTTTGGAACTAGAGAGAGTTGGTGTTTGTATAACATTGTGAATATATTAAATGCCACTGAACTGTACACTAAAAAAGTTAATCTTATGTTGGTGAATTTCACCTCAATTTTTTAAAACAAGGAAAGAAACCATACCCATGTCCCCTTCCATCAAACATATACATTTCAGGCTCTCTTTAAATGTTTTTAAAATTAAAAAGAACACTTGGGCTATAAACTAATCAACTGGTGTCTTTGAAAAGGCACTGGTTTATACTATATAGGTGTGCCCTGCTCCCCATTTACAAGCTGAGAGTCACTGTCCTACCAGATATAGTACTAAATTACTTCATTAGTGCCTACCTTTCCTGCCCTCACTCTTGTAGTTTCCTAAATATAGTAGAGCGCATTCATTTCTTCATGCCCATGAACATAACAATCTCTCAATCTACAACAGTGGATCTCAAACCTAACTGCACATCAGAATCACTTCCAGGAACTTTTAAAAAAATAAATACTTCATGTCTGGGCCCCATCAACTGAATCAGAATTTCTGGGGGAGAGGCCAAGAATCTGGAGGTTAGAAAGTCATTTTCAAAACTCCCCAGATGACACTAATGTATAGCAGCCAGGGTTGAGATAACTTACCTAGAATATTCTATATCCACTTCCCTTTAGCCAAGTGTAGTGCTTTCTAAATTCCAATAAATTTCTAGAAATTTATCCATTTCATTTGAATTTCAAACTATTAGTATAAAGTTGTTTATAAGATGTTATCTTTTAATTCTGTAAATCTGTAATGACACCTTTTTTTCACTTATATTAGTTATTTTGCCTGTCTCTTGTCTTTCTAAATAGTCCTCCCTAAGGACTTATCAATTTCCAGTTGTTTCAGACTAGAACTTTTGCCTGTATTATTTTTTCCACTGCACAGTTGTCCATTTAATTTCTGCTCTTATCTTACTATTTCTTTCATTCTACTTTCCTAGGGTTTCATTAACTCTTCTTTCTCTAGATGCTTCAGAAGGAGACTTAGATGATAATTTTTAACTCTTTGTTTTTTCTAATATATGCAATTGAGGGTATAAATTTCCCTCTGAGCACAGATTTAGCTGCACCTTACAAAGTTTCATATGCTATATTCTCATTATCAAGTTTAAAATAATTTCAAATTCCTTTTATAATTTCTTCTTTGATCTATAGGTATAGAGAAGTACAGTGTTTAATATCCACACATTTGGAGATTTTATTATTTGTTTCTGGTAAATTCCACCATAGTCAGTAAACATATTGTGAATTATTTTAATCTTTTGAAATTTGTTGAGGCCCAACATAATCAATTTTAGTAAATGTTCCATGCATACCTGAAAAGAATATATATCCTGTAACCTTTGGTGCAATATTCTTTATAACTTAGATCAAGTTGACTAATTGTACTGTTCAGGTCTTTTAGATTTTAACTTATTTTTTGTCTGCTTATTCAAATAGTTAATAAAAGAAAATTTAAAGTCCTCTGCTATAACTGCGGATTTCCTTGTAGTTCTGTTAACTTTTGTCTTAATATTTGAAGTCATGACTTTAGGTACATATATATTTAGAATTGATTGTATTATCATAAAATGTCCCACTTTATTTATACTGCCTTAAACTTCACTTTGTCTGATATAGCATGTTCTACTAGCTCTCATTTGGATAACAGTGGTAGTATATGTCTTTATTCACTCTTTTATTTTCAATATTTCTGTGTCCTTATATTTGAGTTATCTCTTGAAAGCAGAATGAGTTTAGCTTTTTATTCAGCCCAAATATATTTATTTTTTCCTTTATTTTATTTTATTATTGTTGACTGTATTACAGATGTTCCCCCTCTTCCCCCCTTTTGTCCCCCTCCACCCATTCCCCTCCCCTCCCCAAGCCTTCCCCACACTATTGTCTGTGTTCATGGGTTATGTGTTCATGGGTATTTCTCTAACTGGCTTATTTCATTTAGCATAATAATCTCCAAGTCCATCCTTGCTGTCTCAAAGGGTAAGAGATCCTTCTTTTTATAGCTGCACAGTATTCCATTGTGTAAATGTCCCACAGCTTTTTTATCCACTCATCTACTGATGGGCACTTAGGCTGTTTCCAGATCTTAGCTATTGTAAATAATGCTGCTGTGAACATAGGGGTGCATTTATTCTTTCTGATTGGTGTTTTCTCCTTCTCTGTGACCCCAATTATATGTATATTAGCCCTTTAGGTTATGTGCTAGCACTTTTCTATACAATCCATCTCTTGTTTTTTAGTGCTTTAGCCAGGATATTTCCTATTGACCTATCCTTCAGTTCACTAATCCACTTTTCAGATATGTACAATCTATTGTTAAGTCTCTTATCCTTTTTCTGGTTGTTTTTCTGACAAATCTTTCACCTCTTTCATTTGTTGACTAACAAGAAAGAGATACTACATGAATATTTGCAGAGTTATTTATACTTGTTCTCACAAAAGCAAATTAAACTTAAGTGAGTCAATTCTGCTATCATTAGCAATTTTAACAAGTGCAGAAGTTGATCCATTATAATCTAAATGAATGACTACATTCTATTTAAAAGAAACAGAGCTTTACAGAGGATGTATAAAAATTGCCACAATCTAGATCACATTTTATATTTTTAATATAATCCATGTTTTATACTGGCTCAAAGTCAAAAGTATATTTTAAAAAGTTACCCTTTGAGACATCATGGAGGGATCTGGAGAGTATTATGCTAAGTGAAATAAGCCAGTCAGAGAAAGACAAGTATCACATGATCTCACTTATATGTGAAATCTAATGAACAAAATAAACTGACGAACAAAATAGGCCCAGAGACATTGAAGCATATGACAAACTGATGTATATCAGAGGGAAGGGGTGGGGAGGTGAGGAACAGATTAACCAAAGAACTTATATGCATATATGCATAACACATGGACACAGACAATAGTGTGGTGAAGGCCTGGAGAAGGGGTGGGAGCGGGGGGAAGGGGATCAATGGGGGAAACAAGGGGACATCTGTAATATTTTCAACAATAAAGATAAATTTAAAAAATAAGATTTTAAAAAAAATAAAAAGATACTTACTCTCTCTCCTTTTCTGTCAGCTTGTCATTGATATTATCTTTGATTATTGATCTAGATCCCTTATGAATTATAGGATATCTGAGGGGCACTTGCAGGAAAAAGGAAATCATGGAGACCAAATGTGCAGTGTAACCAAGGGCAACAGCAATGGTTCCATCATCTTTTGCTGTAAATTAAAAGCAGAAGAAAACAACTATTTACCTTACAAATGTAGCTATGAGATCACAATAAGTCAATTTCAAAAGAGATTTCATTAAGAAATAACTGGTAGATAAAATATTAATCTTACCTAAATTATATAGTTTACATTTATAATTTTAAACTAAATTATACATTTATATTATAAAGTTAATTCAATTATATGAATTTTATACAAATCTAAACACAATAATAAGACTTGAAATTTCACTTACTATATTAAAACTATTTCCCAATAATTAACATGGTGAGATTAACATTTGATATATATCTAAAGAAAGAATTCATGGTACACTCAAATATTCATTACTTTCTTTCCCAGACTTTTTAAAGACAGAAATAATACTTGAGTCTGTTATACAATGTGAAAATTAGTTTTAGAAGTTTAAACACCATATATAAGCACTGTACATTTTATTCATTAACAACTTATAAGCAATATAGTTGTGCTGCTACACTACTGTAAAACATTATTAATTCTAATGTGAAGTGAAATAGCATAATCCTTTATGGGGTATATCCTCAATATTCATAAAGATAGTGTTGTATAAATAAATGTGTGAAGTCTGAAATACTATAAGGGGAAAAGTTTTAAACAGTAAAAGCAAAAAAGTAAAAACTGCAGTTAATATATCCTATTTATGCAATTTATGTGGAAGCAACTGTTGAAAAAAATGCATGTATCCTACAGCCAAACATAAGCAAGTGTTTAAGAAAGTTTCACAAGTCACGGAATTACATTTTTAACTCACCATCCAGACTTCTGCTACCATCTACCAAGTGATAAATAATCATTTAGGTACTCAAGACGGAGAGTCATACAACAAAAAGTTTAAGCTTGACCCAGGAGGAAGGAAAAAGTAACAGCTTGGTATACAGTATTCCCAACACACTTAAAAAAGTTCACACACACACACACACACACACACGTGCACATACACTAAAAGATTTAATCCATCACCTGGAATACCTCTAACTAAAGAAAGAAAGGCTGAAAAAACTGACATGACCTTGGCTTGAGTATTTCCTGATTCTAAGGGTACATTTAACTTCAATTATTAGTAATATTTTTCACATTCTTCTTTTAGATTTATACTTAGTTATCTAAGCATTGCTTTCTTGTTGTAGGAATGCCATTACAGCCATCTAATTCTCAGTGAATTCTCCACCTTTGACTACCACAGCAGACCCTTGGTTTCTCTTTGATCATATTATAAAAACAGGCAACTTTCATTATATGCTTTTCTTCTGCTAGGAATTGACGATAATACTTTATTTATGACAGTCCTTCATTCATCAACGATTAACTAAACTGGGCACTTTTTATATGCTATTTCATTCATTTTATAGATTGAGAAACTAAGGCTCAAAGAAGTTAAGAAACCTGTCCAAGTGACACAGCTAGTATACAGGTGACCTGACACTGTCTCTGTCCTTCAGGCATTCTACCGCACTGTGTCAGAACTTAACTGTGGAGTACTTAACAATTTTTTAAAACTTAGAAGCCTAGAACATACAAAGCATATGACACACATGGACCACCTTAGTTTCTTTGCTCTTTTCTAGTAATGGCAAAGAACACATAAAAAGTCTGTGAGTTCTCAGTGACTTGTGTAGTGCCAGACAGAGAATGGGCTTCTCAACCAATGTTTGATGTTCTCTCAAATCAAACTGATGGAAAAAAATCAAACAGCATTCATTTCAACTGACAATACTGAGTTGTGCCCTGACTAGAATCCTATTTTTTTAATCCTATTTTTAGAGACCTTGTCCTCCCAACCCAGTCCTACCCAAGTACCTTGAATACTACTTCCATTGAAATCTGTACATCACACTACCTTAGAGACTAAATTACACTACATCGTAAGTTAATCACATTATAATTTAATCATCATGATACCAGAGCTAGGAGAAACCTTAAATCACTGAGCCTAATGCTATCCATTTAGAGATGAAAAAAATGAGACCTAGATGATATCCGTGGTTTAGTCTAAGCCATACAGGTAAAAATCATGAGTGATGGGATAAGAGGGAGAACTGTGTGTACACCCTGGCCCCCAAAATATCTATCCATGGAGTGACAGCTGGACCGGTAAGCTGCGTCAGAGGTCACTGGATCGCAGCCCCTGCTTTCTGTCAAGAGGGAGGCCTATCAAATTTAAACTACCCTAAGGACGTGATCTTTGAGAACCTTCTTTGGAAGGGAGAGAAGACGAAGAAGAGGACTTTGAGTAATGCGGGATAATACTACCCTAAGTTTGGACTTTCCTGTATGTGCTTCACACTAAACCTTTCCTTTCCTATATGACCTGACAGAAGTGACAGAGGCCTCTTAATCAGCCTCCTAAATAGGTCAAATGCAAACTAGAAATGTTTAAAAAAATTCTATCCACTGCTAAACACTCAAGCATCCACCTTTTTTCCATATTACTGAAAGGGTGATTCTAAAGAATTACATTTGCATATTTTGTGACTACATTCACATATCTGTTAAAAAACTAAAAACTGGTCTTCTGGTATCACCTCTTTTCAATGATTAAAACAATTCTGCTTAAGTTTAATGATAAGCAAAATTGAGAAGTCTACACATGCAAATCAAAAACCAAGAAGAAATAGCAAAACCTGGAAACTGGATAACATTGGAAATCAGCTTCGGCTCCAGTTATTCACCCTCACCATCGTTTCCACCACCTGACACCCCGCTCCACCCATTAAAAACCCACCCCAGGTTGCTTCCTCTTCCAGGCCGTAGTGCTCAGTCACAGCCTCGCTGTTAAACACCATGGTGTTGGATTTCCAATATTGAAGCTTTATATTAAAAAACATTTTAAAAGGACCACGGGTGAGGCATTACAGGGCCCAAGGGAATTCCAATACCCTCAAAAGGAAAACCACCTCCTGGTAGGGAAGTCACTTTCATCACCCCGAGACCACTGAACCTCCAGTGGGAAAATGTGAGCTCATGTGGTTAATTATGGCTATTGCTGGCCACAAAACCTCAGATGTCACATTCTGTTGCCAATCACTTTAGCTAAAAAACCAAAAGGTTTAAGGTTTCCAGCATTCCAAGATCTAAAAGACTTTTTACCTGCCAAAGCCAAAACCTGGCTCTCTGGGGTGTACTTTTCCAGTAAGCATTAATGACGTCCCTAACACCTAATGCAGAGCAGAGGTTTGTGTTCCTCATGCTGCTGTGGGGTCAGAAAGGTTACAGATGAGAGTTGTGTAGGTGAGAAGAAGTTGGAGAAGGAGTTCAGGGAGAAACAGGAATAAACTGTAGGACTCAGGAAAATAAAAATAAAAACACCTGATTAAAACAATATTTTAAGTGGCTTCAAACAAAACAAAAACCTGCAGTTTCCTCCTCATAATAAATATTTCTGATTTGTTTTTTAAATGTTGGTAGTTACTCAGGGTTGTAGCTTTTGTGTAACTTTTTGGTAATAAATTCCACAAACACACAATCTCCATGATAACATTACAAATTAATTCAAATGTCCCTTTGACTTATATGCTGGACAAACTATTAATATTCAAATGCATCCATGTACAATAAGTGATCTAAAAGCTCTTACCATCCTGCCTTCCCACTCACTGAGGCAGCTGATTTGTTAAGGAACCAAGCACCCACTGATCCAGACAGGACAAAATATTTAAGACTCTAATCACTGCCACAGCATCTATGGAATCATTCCATGTTCCCAATGAGACACTGTTTGACATATGGACTCTCCTTTCCAAGAACTCATGCCTGCATAAAGGGATACAGACACAGAAGGAAATCTGGGTCTCATTACCACAAAAGGCTCTGGTGTTATGGATTACTTAAAAACACACACAAACTTTTTTTTTTTTTTTACAAGAAATGTCTCTGTCAATGGAACTTAAATGAATACCCTTCAACGGACAACTTACTCCCATTGTGTCCAGGTCTCTGACATAGTCTAACAGTAACTGAGCCATTCAGAAAAGCATGGTAAATTCTGGGCCACGATGGAGGAGTTTCCCACAGTTTTAACGCATGCAAGGTAGTCTATCCCAGCAAAGTCTCATTGACACCATAGGATAACCAGTTTGTAATCCTTCACTAGAGTTTTGCTGAGAATGCATCGGTCACAGAACATGAATAAGCTGTGAGAAGCTTGGAAGAGGTTATTATTCTAAACAAAAAGAAAACTGCATCATGACAGGAATCACATGTACCTTAAAATCAGGCTGGCCCGGGATGCCTTTACTTCCGCCACTGGTTAGCATGAGTCTTTGGAAAAATTAATCTCTCTGAGCTTCAATTTTCTTGTCTTTAACAAAATTGAGTGTGATTCTTTCCCTCACAGAAGGATTAATAAACAAGAGAGCATCGTATATGATACTCTATGCTACCATATTTCTACTCATCCAATCTAAACTGTCCTGCTACCCTTCTCCCAACAGGGGAATACGATCTCATTTTACGACACCTCAGCCATCATCTTTGCTAAAAAGGCTTTCCCGATCCCCTTCTGATAGACTGATTATGCCCATTTCTTTGAGTCCCATGTATAAACTTCTGGGTGCCTGACACAGAGTATGAATTCAATAAATATTTCTTGATTGGCCTGATCACAAGTTTGATGGCCTCAAAAGGACCGAAATCTCACTGAGGTAGGATCAATGTCTCAATCATCTTTGTACACTCTCAGCACCTGGCACAGCAGACGACACACAGGGCACTCAGTAAACTGAGTATATGGAAGCGCCTTGCCGAATGCTCACATAAGACTTTAAAGTCCAATACTACCTACCATATGAGCTTCTTAGAATATCTGATTCCTAGGAGTCATGGGGCGTGAATAGGGCATTAGAGTAAAAGTAAACATTTATTTCCTTTTATCTCATTTCATTTTTCAGCAACTTCACTAAAAAGTTGAATTTATTTTTTAAAGAGTATGAAGAACTTATTCAGCTTGTTGGGCATACACAAAGCACAGGTAGCTAACAAAAGCTATGAATCTAGGAACAAACAACTTCAGAGAAAACCAAAACAGAATCAAGAAACACCCCAGAGTGGATTAAGGTGACCACTCACCAATACTGACAGCCTTGCTTCCCTTACTGCCTCCCTTCAGATCACTCTGTATTTAGCAGCCAGAGTGACTTTTGAAAACATAAATCAGCTCATATAATTCCCCTTCTTGAAATCTTTCAGGGGCTTCCATTTGAGAATAAAATATAAACTCCTTACAGTGGCCTCAGAGCCTTGGTTGACCTTTCCTGCCTCCTCTGACATAACACTTTCTCTTACTCACTATGCCCCAGCCACACAGGTCTGGTCTTTTCCTTCCTTCCTCCCTTCCCTTCCTTCCCTTCCTTCCCTTCCTTTCCTTCCTTTCCTTCCTCTCTCTTGCAACTAATTTCAATTACATTTATATGAGCGCCTTTTAAATGAAAAACATTTTCAAATGCTATCTCATTCAATCATCATAATGAATTAGAGATGTAGCTATTACCTCATTTTACAGGTGAAGAAAGTAAGCCCCGAGAGATTACATGATTGCCCAAAATATAGGACTTTTCTCCCATACCCCTACCCTGATTTTTTTTAGATATATCAAGCCCATGCCTCCATCCTGACCTTTTTACTTGCTGCCCCCTCTTCTAAGTAATGCTTCCCCCAAACTGTAGTATAGTTGGTTCCTTTCAGCCTTCAAATTTTCTGTTAAGTGTTTCTCCTTAGAGTTTTTCTCTGCTTTATATAATTAGGTATCCCTACTAGCTATGACAGCATATTCCTTTATTAAATACTCGGTACTTATTTTCTTGTTTATTGGCTCAGTGGGCTGTGTATGCTCCATGAAAGAAGAGAACATATTTGTTTTTTTCCATCGTCATATCCTCAAAACTCAGCACAGTGTCTGGCTCAGTTAACATTTCTTCAATGAACCAATGTTCTGTATCCTTGGAACCTGGCATGGGGCTCAAGGTCCTCAGTGGCTTCGTTAAATAGATGATGAGGAGAAAGATGTGTCATGGGCTTTAAGACACCATAACTTTGCCTGAAATCAACACTAAAGCACATTTGTATGACTTACAAAAATTGGAAGGAACACTGTACGGTGAAAAACAGGCAAATCCCAGCTAGATTATTACCTAGCTTTGTGGTCTCTGGCAAGTCACTGATAGCTCATTTACACATTGTAAAATGAGAGTGTACCACCCTCCTTATGGGATTCTTTTGTTTGTTTTTGGGAGAATTAAAGATAAGGCACAATGTCATGCTTTTATAGATACACTCTTTGCAACAGTCATGTAAAACACGTAGGACAGAAATTAATATATTCACACTATCAATTAGGAAATCAACTCAAAGCGTGGATGGCTTCCTCCAAATCAAATGGTGTCTAGAAAGCAAACCAAGAACTGAATACAGGTTTTCCCCTTCCGGTTTTATCACTCTTTCATCACATCCCAACTACTTGTGTTGTAAGGGTTATTATAAACGCCAATAGAGGCAATAAATTAAAATAGTCTTAAATGTTAAAGGACCATAAATAACATTTCCTTTACAGGGAAATGGAAGAATGCCGGAATCAAAATTGGTAATGCTTTATTCCTGAATAACTTTGTCCCAAATAGATAATATGCTAGCTTTGAAAACAGCCTATAAAGCACATTTAGACTTGGGGGGAAAGCCTACTTTGCTAACAATAGAAAAAAAAAATCTTTTATTGCCAAATAAAGTAAGTTCTTTTCTTTGGCATACTGGTAAAGAGATTAGTAAAATTAAAATATTTTAAAACCAGCAATTACTATGAATCATAGTCTATAATATCTTTAATACAAATGTTTTAATTAAAAGAGAACAGAAATGACAGAACAAAAATTTAGCCTGCCATAGTGGGAATATCACAAAATAAAATTTTGATAAACATTTCTCATCAGCAGAAATGTTATTTTCTAAATAACAATAGAACAGATAAATGTTTGTTATTCTTTGATTTTCATTTTTCATGAAAATCAAACCAAAAGGATAGAGAGGTTAGAAGTATTCTTAAGAACGCCACTGTCTAAGTGTCTTAAAGCTCTTTCCAAAACCATTTCCTTTTAAATGTCAAATATAAAGTTCCATTTTTTTCCATGATTAGACCAAATAGTCTTTTAAGTCTCCTGACAGGGAATCTGACTCTATATACTTATAATTGGGAGGGGACAGAAGGTCCAAAAACTCTTCCGGTAAAAGTGATAGATATGTTAATATCTCTGTTTCCCCTGCAACATACCCACATACTACATACAGCAAATCTTTAGAAGTAAAAGAAATGAAATACCTTGGAAGTCCTCAGAATTGGGCAACTTGACACCACATACAAAATAATCCTTATGCTCATTCTGTGAATATAACCAAAGAATGAAATGAACTCTTTTTATGTATAAAGCAAAGAAACTCCAAGTCAAATCTCAAAGAATTCAACAGGTCAGTGTTAACTCAGAGATAATACTGTCTTAGACTCAAAATATTGTTAACTGTTGAAGTTGGATGTACATGATGATTCATTATACTACTATCTCTATATTCATATATACTTGAAATTTTCTATAATATAAACATTAAAAACATCACGTCTAAACAAAAAGCCATGTAAAATTCTTATCATAAAAATATCCTTTGACCAATTCATAGCAATAAATGAAAAATTTTAAATGGAATTAACAAGATTCTATGAGAAACCTAAAACCCTATTAGCTTTCCTCTCAAAATATTAGTCTTTTAAATTAAAACTGTCTTTTCATTAAAAAAAAACCCCACACACATAAAATTTAGCAGATTTGGTTCTCTAAAAAGTAATCTGATCAGTATCAGTAAAGTTTTACTTTTTGCATTTACTCTAAGAAACTAGATTTAAAAACTTAACAGTGTGACAGGAATATCTGAAGAAATATTAATAAACATAAATTAATTAGCAGTTATATTTTTAAAGCAGAGCATTAAAAATATGTATCTGCGTGTATGTGTCAGAAATGGTGGTAGCTGATAAGCTGAGTAAAAAGATCCTAAAGAAACCCAAAATAATTTGGTATTCTTTCAGATGAAGATGAGCATATCCCTCCAACAAACTGGTATAAAAAATCAAATGGTGGCCCTGACCTGTGTGGCTCAGTTGGTTGGGCATCTTCCTGGGCACTGAAAGATTGCCAGTTCGATTCCCAGTCAGGGCACATGCCCAGGTTTTGGGCTCCATCCCCAGTAGGGGGTATGCAGGAGGCAACCAATCCATGTTTTGCTCTAGCATTGATGTTTTCCTCTCTCTCCCCCTCCCTTCCTCTCTCTCTAAAAAAGCAATAAGAACTAAAAAAATTTTTTAAATCAAATGGTGAAACCTAATCTAAAGTCTAACTCTACTTTTAAAATAGATATTAATTAGCACCTGAATGAACTCATGACAGAACATATGACTAAGACTAGAGCAATGAGTTTTTCCATTGAGAGGGAATTTCAAATAGAAATCATCTTTTAAAACAAAAACACACCTTTTTTTCAGAGAATTTGAAACTTACCAAATCAATGGGATAAATGTAGGAAAGCTCAGATAGTAACTGCCTGCAACGAATTGTCAACTGAGCATTAGTCTTCAGAAAGAGTTCTCTAATGAGGAGAGAGAAAAAAGTATATCTGCTAAAAAAAAATGCTTACATGCTTTCAAACATTTATTTCCACATAATTAACACAGAAAAAGATTGCACAGTCTACATACAGTAGGCCACAGAAACTTAGCAGTAGAGGCAAGAATAGTACCTAACATTAGTTCTGACCTATCTCCAAATACTATCAATTAAGCTAACTAGATACATCCTGAGGCCTATTGTGTGTGTGTCCAGCATCACGCTAAGAAATGTAAAGGGTACAAGTCAACATTGACTGAGTACCTACTACTATATGCCAGGAGCGTTACAAATGGCTTTATTTAATTATTATAACAACACTATTAGATTGATATTATTATATCTATTTTACAAACAAGGAAACATGATGTAAAGAGGACAAGTAAGGTAACCGACGCCTCATTTAATCTGATGCTATTTGATTTCAGGAAATATCCATATGGTAGCTCCTGAAGAAAGTATTTTCTTTTCACTTACAACTACATGTTACAACTACCTAAAAAAAACACCTGCTGCCATGTTAGAAAAATAATGTCAGAAAAAGAACAAACAAGCAAAAAGCTGTGGCATGAGATGATGCAGCTCCTCTTTTGATCTACATAAGAAACATAAACAACAGATAAAATACCTACAGAACAAATTACCTGCTCAACTGTGTTAACAATTTAAGAAAAAAGGAATTTAGAAGAAGCCGCAGGTCAAAATGGATTGTAAACGTCGTTATATAATGCAAACCGCCCTGAAGACACACAGAGATCTAGTTCTGCTTTCCCAGTGAGCCGGGCAAAGGGTAACTTCCCAGAGCCTTGCTTTCCTATCTGCAAACTGAGAGGATCAGACTAGATGAAACCCAAGGTTCTTTCTAGGTCTAACATTTTTGAATCCTCAATTGCTAAGGTTTTTTAAAGAAAAATGCAGGATGAAACGACTTTCCAGAAAAAAAATGAGTAAGGATGAGTGAAAGAAAAGCAACAAATTAAGCATGTGTTGGAAAAAATAAAAGAGAAAAAACATTAGCACTTGTTAAGTGAATGTTATGGAATGACTGAAATTAGCTACAGTTATATAGCACCAATTTACTGAAGGTCATTTGAAAGTTAGTAAAACAATCACCATGGGCTCCTAAAAAGAGAGAAAGATATGGTAAAGATAGTATTTTAAGGGAGTTCTGACAGCAACGTGGGGGGTAAACTGGAAACATGGGGAGCCAATGCCAGAAAGATGATAATCTAGGAGCTGTAGAGGTAATCAAATGAGCTAACACTAAACATGAGTAAACCTAAAGAAATGACAAGAAAAAACTACAAACTACGCTAAATTTTGATGACAGGAAAAGGAGACTCAAACACTACATCATGGTGCTGTGGCCTTGAAAACTAGAACAGTTCTCGTTTCTGACTATGACTATACACTAGGGGCTCTAATAACTGCCTCTAGCACAGTGCACGACACACAGTAAGTGCTTAATAAGCATTTGCTGAATAAATGAATATGGGACTGAGGTGTGTGGGATATAAATTAATAACAGCAACTTTTAATGAATCCTACTTTTCCAAATCCTATCCTCAAAGTAAATTCGACACACGACAATTATTCTCAGAGTTTCATTTACCTTTTCGCAGTACACTCCTTCCTCAGCTCATTTAGGGATTCCTTCTGGAGTTGAAGCTTAAGGTGCTCAGTTGAAAATGTACTTCCTAGAGAGAGATGGAAGAAGACAATTCCAGATGTAATAGTGCAGACAGAGATGCTCAACCACAACCACACAGGCAAAGCCCAGTCACCTGACTGTGAGAGGGAAATAAAGAGTTAAAAGGTAAAGTGGGTCGGGTAGCGGTCTTCCAGGGGGTTGAACTGGAATAAATTTCCCTATTGGTTTAATTTTTACAGAAGTCCAGCCTCTAGCAGGCACCAGAGAGTAAGAGTCTAAGATTCCCAGCGTACAGATTTCTGGATTGCTGACCAATAAACCCTGGTGAGATTTCAAAATTCAAACAACTTCATTTTTGTAAAAAGTGGCTAAGGACTCTGGGCGTTAATGATGATTAACTAAAGGTTCATCAATTGTAACAATGTACCACTCTGATGGGGGATACTAACAATGGGGAGGCTGTGCACATGTGGGGGCCAAGGTATATGAGAATTCTCTGTACCTTTTGCTCAATTTTGCTATCAACCTAAAACTGCTCTAAAAAATAAAGTTCATTTTTTTTAAAAGTGGTTAATTTCATTTCAACCAAAAATGCTATAAAACAATATTACTAAAAGTATAAAAAGCAGAAAAAATTACCTGTATTTGACTACTACAATATAGTTCATAATATAAACAGTTTTTAAGAACTTTCATGTTATTCATAAGTAGTTTTAGTTACAATCACAGTGTGCAGGGAATGTACATTCTGATTTTTCCGTATTACGTCACAAGCATTTTTACATATTGACAGTAGTCTTGAGTTATGATATTTAATGTCTGTGTAAACTTCACTCCATGGATGTGAATTATATGAATATTCCCCATTTTGATACTCCATACCTTAATCCCATTACAGGACACTTCATTTCTTTTGTGTTTGCTTTAGCACTGCAATGATTAATATTTGTGTTTATATGCCTGATTTTTTTTGGTATTTATATAAACTTTTGGAACTTCCATTTCTATTTATGTGATCATAAAATTCTTTGGCATCTTCCTACTCTAAGAAAATGGGAGTCTTACATTTTTGACAATCCAGGCCTGATAATTCCAGCAGTCCTGAAGCACAGAGAAACAGTCTTAGATCCTGATAACACTAAGCTCTAGATCTCACAAAGTTTAGTTTGATGAACTCTGATCCAGTAGGAAAGGGTGCCCTAAATGCTTTTGTATATCTCCTATAGGGAGGAACAAGAAAGAGATTAATTGAGCCAAGTAGTTTACCTGAGCAATAAATTTACCAACCTAGGTAACTTTATCAACTTATTTCTAAGCATCCTACTCTTCTTTCTCAACTGTACTTAAATGACCTTAAGTAAATTGGTAGCTCTGCCCCCAAAATAGAACTTAATCAAGGAATACTATTTATCTTCTTTAGCCCCAATATAATTCCTCCCCAAATCTTCATCAATGATTTCAGAAGACATTTAGATTGACAGCCTGCACCCCCCAACCATCTACGTCCTACCAGAATGCACAGGAATTCTTCTGCCACTGCAGAAATTTGCAATAACCTTCTTCACAGGTAAACTAGGCTGCCTCAACTCTAACGCTGCTGGTGACACCACAAATAGGGAAAAGGCAGATCTGGGCTTCAAAATGCAAATGTATACACCCTCCTCAGTTCTGAAGGCTCTTGAGAATGTATTACATGACCAAAAGAGGGGAGAGAAAAAACCTTGCAGAGTGAAGAAAGGAAAATTAAATTTTAATAATATATTAGCCAGCTAACATATAGGGTAAAATATTAACAATAGGTAAATTGGGATGAAGATTATAGGTGATGTCTGTACTCTTCTTATTCTTGTAATTTCTCTGTAAGTCCACGATGATTTCCAAATAAAAAGAATAGATCCAAACCCAGAAAGGGGTCATCTGAGAGGCTATGGTTTTCCACAGGCTTTAGAATGCACACTGGCACCATCTCTCCAAAACCTATCAGGTTCAATTTTCTGTCAAAAGGTATACACTTCATTGGTGACGAGTGGGCTCTGGAACAAAACTGATTGATTTTGGTTTAGGATCATACAGAGAAGAGCTAAGTATTTGAAGATACCTCAAAAAACTTAACCTAAGTTTTCCAAAAGTCCCATCAGAGGAGTAATAACACTGAGGCAATGATGTGCTCAATCTCGTTAAATGTTGTTCAGATTATATATCACCAGCCTGAGTACTACACAATTGCTGTTGTGTCCTTCTAAGAATAACGCTGCTGGTGGAAATCGGGTTCTTTCATGGTTCTCAAGGAAAGCATTCCTAGAGACCCACTTAGTGGGAAGTTGTGACATAAGATTTATTTGGGTGGAGACAGAAGGCTGTTCCCAGGTTTCTGATGTCTCATCTCCATCTGTCTCACCTTGGGAAAAGTTCAATCTTGTCTTCATCAAGTCCAGAAATAGGGGCAATGTCTAGAGATTCTGTGCATGTCAAAGTTTAGTCTGGTTCCTGGCTGTGCTCCAGCCAGCTGGAACTGCTATATCCAGTACCCAGGCTCGGCTTGAAGACTGCTTGAAGTCCACCCAGCCACCAGCCAGCCACACTGCTGCTGCTAGGGCCACAAGGCTGCTATGGAGACAGCATGTGAACAAATCAGGTAAGCTGTTACCAAGAGAGAGCTTCTTTGTTAAACTGGGATTATATTATCTCAGGCTTGGAAAGGGTCAGGCTTTTCTTCAAGTTAACCAATCAACTTCCCAAACTTTCATGGAGTTCTGATGGGCCCACCCACTAAACCAATCTATTTCCTAGATCTTCCGTGTTGCTTATCCCATGTGATCCTTTCCCCAGGCTAGACAGACAGGCCTCTATGGTTGCCATCTTGGCTCCACATGCCTCATAGAAGCACCTCCCCCTATTGTCTAGGCCAGTGAACCCGGAGACTGAAAAGGAGGCCTCCCAATATGGGAGAGGGAGGGAAGGGTTAATCTCTTTTGCTGGGCAGTGCTGCAGTCCCCTGGGGTTTGTAAAGCTGAAACTTCCTGGTTAAGCAGGCTTGGCTCCCTAGTTGATTATGCTTAATAATGTCTGATTTCCTTTGCTCCCTTCCTTTACTATTTAGCTACCTATGCTAACAATATCACATACACAATCATTGATGTCCATCTTTAAGACCATGCATATGTCCTGCTTCTCATCTAAATTTCTACCCAGATTTAACATTGATTGGTGTCTTCTGCTTGAATCAATCTTTACTATGGTTGCAAAAAAATAACATTCCAACTCCAGTACTCCTCCATATTTATTAGTTAGTACTCAGCACTCTTCTCGAAGAAAGAGACCTCCCTTCTCCATCAGCAATCTTTTATCAATATGGAACCATGAATTCCATTTTTCAATGATTTATAATTCATTACTGTATATAATTATTTTAGTACTCAAGTGGTCCCAGATTTGGCCAGTGAAACTCTCTTCAGCCTTGCTCCAGTGTCCTTCTGAAACACTACCATTGTGTTATTCAAAATACTACCTATCATTTTAATTTCTATAGGATCTGTAGTGATGTTTCCTCTCTCATTCCTGACCTTTTCAATACACTGTAATACCTTTTTTTTAATCCTCACCCGAGGACATGTTTTTATTGATTATATATATAAAGGGGAGATGGGGAGCTCTACTGTTATATTCATACATATTTAGAATTGTTATGCCTTTTCGTGAAGTGACTTTTTCACCACATTGTGGTATCTTTTTTTTTTTAATCCTTACCCGAGGACATATTTTTATTTGAGAGAGAGAGAGAGAGAGAGAAAGAAAGAAACAATGATCAGGTGCCTCCCTCACCTGCCCCAACCAGGGATCAAACCAAAACCTAGGTATATGTCCCGACCAGAAACTGAACCCACAACCTTTTTGATATACGGGATGACGCTCCAACCAGTTGTGTGGAGCTGTCTTTATTGTAAGTAGTACTTTTTTTTTTTTTTTTAATCTTTACTCAAGAATATGTTTTAGAGAGAGGAAGGCGGAGGGAGAGACACACAGAGAGAAACATCAATGTGAGAGAAGCATCAATTGGTTGCCTCCCATATGCACCCTGACAGAGGAATCAATCCCGAAACCTGGGTATGTGCTCTGATTGGGAACTGAACCCACAACCTTTTGGTGTTACAGGACGATGCTCCAACCAACTAAGCCACCCAGCCAGGGCAATAATACTCTTTATTTAGCAGTCTACTATGCCTGATAGTTATAGGGTGAAGCAAAAGTAGGTTTATAGCTGTTCTTACAGAAAATACAATAATTAGTAAATAATAATACAAAAATAAACTGTTTCACGAACTCACAACTATAATACTACTTTTGCCCCACTCTGTATATAGCCACTTCAGCCTTTTGATTAGTATTTGCATGGTGTACTTTTTCCATTCTTTTGCCTTTAATCTAATTTATGTCTTTATATTGAAAGTGGTTTTCTTTTAGATAGCATTGTTAGGCCTCTTTTTATATAAAATCTGAACCTCTATTTTTTAATTGAGGTATTTACACCATTTACACTTAACATAATCACTGATATGTTTAAAGCCTACCATTTTGCTAGTTGTTTTCTATATGTTTCATCTATTCTTTGTTGCTTTATCCCAATTTTTTATGCTTTTGGATTGAGTCTGTTTCTTTGTGTGTTTTTTTTAATGATTCCCTCTTCCTTCCTAGTGGCTTATTCTTACAGTTTATACTATAAACTCTGGGGCAACCACTAAAAAGGTAAGAGGACATATTTTTATTTATTTGAGAGAGAAAGAGAGAGAGGAAGAGAGAGAGAGAGACAAACTTTAATAAAGTCTACCTTCAAATATTATACCATTCATATAGTGTAAAAACCCAAAAATAATACACCCCTAATTCTTAACTTCCCCACTCTTCAAATTCTTCATACATCTTACTTCATGCATGTTATAACCCCAAAACATTGCTATGTGTACATTTAAAAATCAATTGTCTTTTAGAGCAATGAAAAATAAAAAAATGCCTTTATAATATCTTCATTTCAACCATTTCCAGAAATCT